AACACACACACACGAGGGCACTGAAGACAAATGAAAATAAAAACGACCGAAAGGGGTGGATTTAGGGAGATTCGGGCAAGCAGTCGTAGACGAGCGCAACTCAATAAAGGAAGGGCGGAGCTTGGCTCCAATTCCTCCAAAGAGGCCGGTTTTACTTCTAAGATGGCCGCGCCCACGGCGCGTCCCGTTCCAAGATGGCCGCCGCCACAGGATCCGTGGCAATATGGCGGCCTCACGTGACTGCGTTTCACCGTACAAGGGCTTCTCAGGCGGCCCCATGCTTAAAATGGCGGCTCCAGGCATCCAGATTTCTCAGTATGGGCCCTTCCGTGCTCGTCTCTTCTCAAAATGGCTACCCCAGCCCTCGCCAACCCGGGATGTACCCCTACACACCTCGGAATCTGGAAGTCGACGTCCCCCCACAACCCTGTGACGGCACATGGATGGCTATAATCAAAGCTCATGGGATAAGGGGCCCCTGCCAGCACAGCACAGCACAGCAGGAGCTGATCGCGTGGATCTTGCGAGGGAATATAGGTTTCTACGGTTTGCTCAGTCGAGGCTCCCTTGGGAGAGGAAACAAGCGTGCGGTCAGTACCCGGCGCCCCTATCGGGGCATCGTTCCTTGGTTGCCTCCTGGCCTCCCTAGGCGCCGGATAAGCCTGAAATAGTTCACTTAGGGTTTTCTGGCAGAACTGAGGCTTGCTATGCTCCCATTACTCCTTTAGGCCCATCCCGTCACATCTGCCAGACGCAATACCCCTGCCGCTAGTGTACTTACATCCCTCCTCGTGGTCCAGCATGCTGCCTGGCCAGAGGCCAAACGAAGGCTTAATGTCTCATGATTACCTCCCAGACCCAAATTTGGGTAGTTTGAGTGCCTTGCTATAAGTATTTTCCTTCCTTCTATGGGTGAACATACAGAGGTGGGACGGGGGCCAAGGCAGAGAAGGTAATAGTCCCAGGATGTCTGCTCCTCATGCACTGAAATTCAGGGATACGTCCTTCCCAGAGGAAGTCTAGGCCAGCTACGGTTTATGCCTGAATACACTTTGGGGAGGAGCGCTGCCCTGCAGTGGTAAGAGGATGACCTGTGTTAGGGATGGCCGTCACCCCCAGCTTCTACACACCTTCACACAGGAAGATAGCAAGGGGAGACGCTTAGAGAGGAAACCGAAGGAAAAGGGTGTTGTACTGGTACTGGACCTAGTTTTCCCGTGGACGTCTCCATGGGCTCCAATGAACTTGTGGCACTTCCAGAATAGCTTCCCAGCTGTTTACGTATTTCTGAGCCCTAACAGGTCGGGGAGATCACCTAATTAATTCTCTTATCCTAGATATGAAGAAACAGGTAACCAACCTGATCGCCTTCCTAAAGTGGGGCCCTACCCTCATTCTCTTCAGGGGACTGCTTTAGTTTCTTCTTGGTGCTTCCTGAAAACTCCTGGATCAGGTGTGTTTTCAGTCCCTGCATCCTGAGTGTCTGGCAAATAACCAGCACTCAAATACTTAATGAATAATGGTACTATACATGCTTAAATGGCAAGAGGTGAATAGCAGATACTAAGAACCTTTCTCTTCTACTGAGTCAATGTTGGGCAAATTCCAGGGTTAACTGAAAATTTCCAGATCAGCTCAGACTTGGCAAAAAGCCAGAAGTACTCAATAAATATAATCTTGATGTTAGGTCAAAAAACGAAAAGCTTTTGCTCAATTTTTCTGCATAATTCTCATACTCATCAGATTACAGTGAATGGCTACAGAGTTGGGAAAAAAATGGCACTCAAATTACTAGACAAGGCTTGAGCTATAAAAATATAAAAAATGGTTAGTTCTAACACTGAGTACTTTAAAAATTCTAGAGAATGGGCAAGCAGTGAAATCAAGGATAGCCCTTAAGGAACAAAGCTGTAAGTAAGGCTCTGGGGTCTGAATCTGTGTCATGTACATGAGGATTTAGAGCAGTATCTATATATTCACTTCTTTCAAACACTGCATGTTCTAAACCTATGGCATCCCAGCCTTAGTAAGTCCCTGACCATTTATTAGAAATTAAAATTAGCATCAGTTCAGTGCTGGTAATGCAATAATGCTTTTGTTAAGGTTACCTTCTCATTCTCTAAACTCGCTAGGAAATAACTGCCATCAAACATCTTCTGTTGAATGAGTTGGCTTTTCCTCCTAAATGGTAATTACTCGTGAATAATCTTATTTGGCTCCTGAATGGAACCTTACATTTAACTTGAAGTATCCAAATGGTTTTAATATAGGCCAAATACTGAGCGGTCATGACATTATTTTCTTCTACTCCAATGGCGCAGGCTCTTAGCATAAGAACCACTATGTGGGCCAACAACCCGAGAGTGAGAATGTGGCTGGTTCCCAAGTGAAGGCATGGTAGCACAGCCACGCAAAGCCAAGCCTCTTGGCTGGACCCAGTGCAACTGATGAAGCAGCATCAAAAATAATCTCCCCCCACCCACCATGACAGTGCAGCCACAGCAGATAGGGTGAATTCAATCCAAATGGTTATTTATTCTAAAACTGGAAGCTACTGTTGCGTACATTTTTGCCAGAATGTTGTAATGAGAACAGGGGAAGAAAAGTTACAGATGTAAACAATGACACAATTACATTTTCTTTTTAAATGGTAAAACCCTTTTTTACTGGCCACTTCCAAGAATGCTTTACAGGTTGTGCAAAAACATATACAGGCTCCATGTGGTGTTTGTTTTTCTCACAAGCTTTTCCATCTACAACTACAACAGACGTCTGATAGAACACTAAACAAGTCTTCTAAGGAAAACAAGGCTAGGGATACCTCCTGTTAATCCACATTTTCCCCTTTAACATTGTTTTTTCATAAAAAGACAGACAGAAACAAAACCCAGACATCTACTGTGTTGCAAGTGATCTCTTGGACTAAACCAACAAGGACGTGGCAGCTTCACTCTCCACCCACCTACAAAAAGAGCTTTTTAAAAAAGGATGACTTTCTAGTGTCAAAAATTAACAGCAAGTACCTCCTAACCCCCAAAAAGGCTTTGGCCCTGAGGGCCTAGCATCAGCAAACCATCGGACTATAAAAAGATGCTATTTGCTGGAGAATTAAGTGAATGCAAAGGGTGGCAGCTTCTGCCGCAAATTCAATTTTCTATTATAATCTTGCCCCAGGGGAATTTCTTTGGGCTTCAGTTTTTACCTCCTTACCTTGACACTATGAGCAAAGCTTTCTCAAAATCCCTTCATGATAAAAAGTTAAGTGGGTTACAGAGAAGTTCATGCAATCACTTCACCCACTGCCACACACAAATCCATTTGACGGCACCACAAGAAAGCAGGCGCCAAGAAAGGACATCCTTATGAGCAAGCAAACTTACTTCCTACTAGCCCCCTATTCCAGCCTCTGGGTCAGAGGTAATTGTGTGGGGCAGAAGGTTGTGTCACAGACAGGGGTGACTAGAGGGCCAGAATAGGGCCTGAACACCAAGAGAAGGGTTGCATGGCAGTTAACAGTGAGAGAGATCAAATTTCAGCACAAAATTTTAAATAGAGAACTCCTCAGGTGAGTAAATGAAAGTGCAGTGTTTCCAGGTAACACAACCCAGGGTTTTCTCACTGGGAAGTGCCACAATACGTGGCGTTTGCTAAGTAAGCTCTTGGCTGACACCAAGCTGAGCAGGAAGATGAACTAAATTGGAAGCTAAATATTGGAAGGGAATACTCATATCCCACGTATATTCTTGAACTCAGCAACCTGAAGCTGTTTGTCAAGAACTGGGAGGGTGCTGGTAAAGTTACAAACAAAAACTATCCCAACTGAAATCTCTTGGCTAGAGGCCTCTCTAGGGACACGCAGGGCAAGCACCCCAGGAGGAATCCCGTTTCACAAAGTCTGGAAGGGGTGCCCCCCCTTTCATGCACGCGTTACACACGCTCACATTCACACTTCCCAAGTTTCAGCAGCCCCACTGAGCTGCCTCCCACCCCCCACCCCCCCTTCTATTCACTCTCTACCTGTGTATCAAAAAACCCAGCAGGGCTCGTGCCCTCCATACTGTATAAAATAGTTGCTATTCTCAGCACCTGGGCCTGGTAGCCCACACCACAGGATTCACCTATATACACATCCTGCTGCAGAGAGAATCCTGCTTCGTTTCCGTGTGACCTGAAACCCTGAGAAACGTTCCTTCTCTTGCACTGTAAGAGGACAGATACTCTAACAGAGACGATTTCAGAGACTTTCCCACCTGTCTCCACCTTGGCAGACAGATAGCAGAGACTGGCAGATCACAATCTGCAGGCTGAGGCCTGCAATCCCATTCTCCCCTAACATTTTATGGAAATACACTAACGGGTACACAGAGGTTGCGAGCTATTCTGCCCTGCAGTCAAGAAGTCTCCGTGCCTCCTCGGCCTGAGAATCCTATATAATAGAACCACCCAATGGTAGTCTCCATGCCTCAGCCAACTAGCACAAAGGCACAGAAAAGTGGACACAGGGACATTGTGGCTCCCAGCCCACCAGACCAGATATCCCAAGAGGGAAAGGTCGGTAAAGAAAATACAAACGGTTAGTTGGTGCAATTGATTGATAAGAGCCAATCGTTTATTTTCACTGCCCGGTCACAAGCTCTCCCTCTGTCCCCACTCCTGCCTGCTCTGGAGAGTGAGTGCCCTCACGGGCGTCCCACCCTGTCCACACCACCTCCTCACTCTCCCTTACTTGGCTGCCAGTCCAGCTGCCTTAGCATGTCAAAAGGGTGATATTTTCAGTTCTTTTCCTGTCGACTGCAGGGTACAGGACAGGCAGCCCTAAGTGCCGCTTTCTGCGCAAATGTTTTTTGATTACAAATATCTAACTAGGTTTGAAATGTTTTATAGAATAAGACAATATTCTTTTCAACAAACTTTAAAAAAAATGTACAGTTTTGTTGTTTGTTTCCACCTCCCCCCTCCCCCACCCGCCTGCTGGCGCACCCTCCCCCCCACCCCTCCCCGGCAGCTCAGCCCCACCCCGACAGCCCCTGTTTTCCTTGGTTGTGTTTGGGGGGAGGGTGCCTTGCACCCCCAGAGATTCGGCTTCATGGCTGGCAGGCAGCAATGGCCGGGGCTTCACCGATACCCTTGGTAACCGTAGTAGTTCCTGTAGTATCGGTCTCTGTCCTGGGGGTGGTGGTAGTAGTAATTCTGCCACTAGAAGAGAGGGGAAACCCCGTCACTTGGAGCCACAGCTGGATGCAGACAGAGGCTTGACACTCATTCCTCTGATCCTTCCTCCCTTCCCCCTCTTTCTACCCCCAGAAGATACTCACATCCCGATTGTACTGTCTGTAATAGTCTCTGTATCTGTTGTACTCATAATCTCTCCCGTAGAATCTGTCATAATCTCCTCTGTATCGATCGTAGAAATTACGGTACCCCTGAGAAAGGAGAGAGGGAAAGAGTGAAGATTATGGTTTTCAGTGTCACGATCCACTGCTATCCCCCGTCTTAGTGAGACAGGTACCTTAGCTTGATATTGTAAACAGGCTTAATCTTCCCAGGAGAAATCCTTCCAGAGGAAGACATTAAATGGGCAAACCCTAAGCCCTGAGAAAACAGCCCAAACCACTCTGCTCCCCCGAGCCAATAGGAATGGCTATCACGACCCAGAGGGAGGAGCAGAAGGAGGGCTGCACTCACCCCTCTGTTTCCAGACTGCCCCCAGTACTGCTGCCCGTAGGCCCGGTTGTCGTAGCCTCGGCGCTGCCCGCCCACTGGAAGAGAAATGGAGAGCGCGCTCAGATGGCCGGCACGGGTCCTGGCTCCACATCCGAGTGGAAACCAAAAAAGTTGGAGCCAAAGGCAATTGTGGGGGAATAGGAGGCCTGCTCTGTCAGGCTCACACAATGTTAATTAAAGCACCAGCCAGGATCTTTTTAAAGAGTCTGAGGGGGGAGGGCAGAGGATTAGAGACATAAGAAAACCAAGCCACCTTGCTTTGGTAGCCCCTTAATTCCTGAAAAACATTTCAGATGGCTAAAGGATACATAGCAGTTAGAAACAGAAGTTAAAACTGCCATTCATAGAATCATAGTCTGAACACTATGCTCCTCCAGGGCAGGAACTGTTGGTAATCCCAGTGCCTTGCACTTGGCAGGCATTTGAAAAATGTTGTTGACTTGTACTTACACACACACACACACATTTTCAAAGGGCAGTGAATGCACACTGGAGGGTTACCTGACTCTGGACATTCAGGAGAGACATTAATTCCACTACTAGTGTAACTTACTCTGTAATCCAAAAAATGATTGAAAAAATGCATTCACTTTCTGGTCCACACAGTTGTGCTGATCCAACAGACAAAACAGCAAGAAAACTTAAGATGAGAATTCAATTTCACTGCACAAATCCTTCTGATATACTGCAGCAGTGAAATGGGGAACCCATATAAAAATGAAAAAGAGATGAATGAGAAGCCTCACACATTTCTTTTCAGGAAGACATATTTTTGTTGAAAAATAACTACCTTTTATTGGACTATGGACAAAGCACAAGCTGGGGGGAAAGGACACAGGAAGAATAAGCTCCATAAAGAAGGTACTTCCTTTTTGTTAGTGACTTGCTTTGACCTTTCCATGTGGTTCCTGCTATAGTCAGTGCAAAGAAGGAACTGAGGCTGGGGGCCAGCAGGTCGCCAGGACTCACCATAGCCTTGTCCTCGGCTTCGGTTCTGCCGGTTGCGCTTGTTCCGGTTGTTTCGGCGGTTTGTCCGCTTCTCAGAGGGGGGCAGCAGCTTCCTTGCCTCCTCCTTGTACTTTGTGACAATGGGCTGAGCTTCCTCCTTCTCCAGCTCCCCGTATGTCACCTCATCCATATAGTCGCATTTTTCAGGCAGAGAGAAGTTGGCTATAAGAGTAAGAGAGAAGCTTGTAGGCCTGAAAAGTGCATAGACGGGTAAGATCTCATTATGAAAATCCTATTACAAGATGAACAAGATTTTCTAAGCCTTGTCTACTATGTATAAAAAAGTGCTGGATCCATACCAGCACGTTTAAATAAGTAATTCACTTTCTCTACCATAAACCTTCCCTAAATTCTAACAGCCCCAATCAAAAGGCTACTTGCAAACTATAGATTTCCAAGTTCTTAAGTGATCCATAATAAATTAAGAGTGAATTGGGTTAAGGTTTCTTATCAGGACAGAAGCAGGTAGCCAAAAGCTAAAAGTAACTGAGAAAGTTTTGTTGCTAGTTAGATAAGATGGTAAGAAATACATTTTAAAATAGACTGTGAGAAACTGAACTGAGCCTAATGACATTTTCTCATTTATACAAAGAGAACAGGAAATAAGAGTACAAGAGGTCTCATTTACCACCTGTGCATAATAGACTGGCACATTAGCCAATCTACAGACATCAAGTTCAGAGGCCGAGTCCCAGTTCAAAACGACTCTCTTGATTCTTAGACAATTCCAGTTAACCATCAGTTTAATAAAACTGAGCTAAATTCCACCAAGTGTCTGAATATCAGTTATGGCTGGCAGAGTCCATGCTGAGTAAACTTGGTAAATCTGACTCTTAGATGTATAATCAGCAACCATGCCTGGGCATTATTAAAACTTGAAGAGCCAGTGGTTGATAGGACAGATGGGATGCCAGGAGCCGAAGGCAACAAGGAACACTCTTAAGTGAACACAAGCAGCAGGATCAATCAAGATAGCGTCAATTTTGCCTTATGGGGGCCTTGCTATAAGACTTTGTATCACATTAAAGATTTTAGGCACATACCAAAACCAAAACAAAAAACAAGCCTAATGTTATACTGGAAATTAAGATTTATGATAAGATTGTTCACTCCATCATATTTTAATTTGAAACCTCCCCACTATAGTATGTAAGTTCAATGAAGGCAGAGCTTTGTTTCATTCAGTTTCTCTCTGTCTAGAATTGTACTGGACAAATAAAAGACACTCTTTTAAGTATTTACTAAATGAGTAAGTGGCTCAATGAAGCCTCTGGCTTGAGTTTAAATTACGCTGTGGTCCTACCACTATTTCCCTCTTCATATCTTATCCAAAATGAGTCAAGGGTTACTGCTTCTCCATTCACTCTACTCATTCATTATCCACAAGAGCCCACACCCATTAATTTACTCTTTAGATTTACATGTTAGGTGTGGAAAGTCACACCAGGTGCCAAGAAACCCTAATAAGGTGCATTCTGACAAGGACAGACTCCCTCACCAGTAGAACTTCAGCTCACCTTTCATCTCCAGCATTATAGACTCAGGCACATCATCTCCCTCCACTTCCTTCCTCAACTCCAGCCTCTTCTTCCAATCTTCCTCATTAGGGACAACCACCACCACTTTCCGAGAGAAAGTCTTGAACAGCAGGAGCTTCCGTCGTTGGCCAGAGCTGTACACGTTACACTAGGGACAGGATAAGTGACATGTTTGAGGAATCAAAAGTACCCCTCATATTCAATCAAAACACTTTAATTAGGCAACTTTTACAAGTTTCTGTTGAATGTCTGAACAATACCTGATCAAGAATGAAGTTCCTCTTTGTCCGGGAAGCAATCTGGACCAGCTTACTAAGGCACTGGGAGGCTTGCTGAACTAAAAGGTCTCGGCTTTTGGGGTCTATCTCTGGCTCCTCGAGCCCCTTCATCTGATGAATTTGGGATTAAGTGAAGAGAAACATAAGAAGTTATGCAAGAAGTTAAAGCCCAGAGTCACCAGTAAACATTACTTCTTTAAATGCCATCAAAGCTACCACATCAGTTTATTCCTCTCTCTCAGTACAAGGAATACTGTCCATTTCCTGCAGGAGTCATTTTCAGTCCTGATCTGGATATATTTCAGATTTTATCTACTTTCAGAAATTTGACAACATAGCAAAAGGAAAAAAAACTACTTTTAACATATATTGAGAAGAACTCATTTCTGTATTTATGGCCCTTGTTCTCAGATATTTGAAAGATTAACTCCACTGGGAAAAGGTTATGGGAGCTTCTTGGTACCTCCAGAGCAAATCCCACAGCCAATGAACTCACCCTCATTTGATTGAGCACAGTCTCAGCTCCCAGGACATTGTATCTTTTCTCAGGGTTTTCTTTTGTGTATTTCAGTGCCCATTGCGTCTTTCCAGACCCAGGCAGTCCCACCATCAGAATCACCTGCAAGTAAACAGAACAAGGAAAGCTTTGAAAAAATAAGTGAAGGTCACATTTATAAAGCCCAGTTTAATAACGAACACCCTCCCCTGACCCAGTATGGTAAGGCTCTGAGAAGAACAGCTATCTGTCCACCACTCCAAAACCTAAGCACCAAGTGTTTGCACACTGTTTGGCATACCTCACACTCTTCTATAGTCTTGGGAGGAACTGCAGTGCGTACACGCTCCTCAACAGGCACAGCATGGATGAACACAAACTCTTCTGGTGGTGGGAAGAAGGGTTCCTCCTTCTGACCGAAGTTTAATTCTACAACACAATTTTTGCAGAGGACATGGGGTAGGAGAGCCCGGTCTGCCAGGGATTCCTTGTTGATCCAGAATGCCACACCTAGGTCTTCTCCATTCTTGGAAAAGGAAAGTTCTACTTGTTCAGTCCCAAAATTCTACAATGACAACAGATAAGAGCATTTATGGGCTTAGAGGGTTTGAGGTTGATTAACTCTTACAATTTAACCTTTTCAAAACCTGCAGTTGTGTGCTGCAGAACACAACTAAGCCAAGAATGCATCAAATGCACAGACAGGAGACAGAGGGAAGCAAACTGAATTCCCAGGGCCCTTTAGCCACTCCTTGCCAAGAGGCCACAACTTTCAGGAGCACTTACAGCAAAGCAGCCAATGACATCATTCTCCCCAAAAGCTTGGCCAAATTCCTCAAACTGCCCGTTCTCAGCCTTGAGTCCTCGCCCATCGAAACCATAGGAGAATTCATCCTCACCTAGAAGAGTCAACCAGTTAAATCACCCAACTTCCCATAGAATAAGCAATAATGGCAGCAAACACTAGTGATTAAGTTAAAATTAACTTTACCAAGCTGTGGTTGGGAAAAATCAACAGACCATCCAACTCGAAGGACGGACACCTCTGTGCAGCCTTCTTTCATTGGGAGGTTCTGGGTTACCTGGTCAAATGAGAAAATGAACTTTCAGATACTCTGACCAACAAAGGAGCAGAGTCTGAGAAAGATTTTTATACAAATTGAAAATGACAACTATCATAATTCAAGACTGGAATAACAACTGCCAATGAACTTAAACCAAAGTCATGGGGGTCAATTTCTTGGTTAGTGGAGCTAGGTTATCATTAAAGCATGGTGCCCTTTTCTGCACTAGTACTATACTGAGGGGCAGGAGTCTAGTACATAGTAGTTTAATAAATAATTCAGTAAATGAATGATCTTAATGAGATGTACATACTACCTTGGCCTCAAAACAGACTTTCCCCTTTGTCACTCCATAAGTACTCCGTGCCCCAGACCAAAGCGTGGGGAACTTCTCTGAGAAAAGTGGCTGCCCTCCACAGCGGTCTTTGCTCACTTGAAAATGGAGATCCGAGGTATCTGTTAAGAAAGAAGCGTTCTGTTCACTCCAATGCCCAACATTTGAAAGCCACCAACAGTACACAAACATACCCAACTGTCAAGAATGGATACAAAGTTGTCCATGCATTAAATCTCTTATAAGTGGCAGGCCATATGAGTTTGAATCTCCAAAGTCACTTTTGATCACTTAGAAACCCCAACCTATTTGCCTTATACATACACGTGTCCAGGTTCACAAGAGTTTGATCCTCCTCCTCCTCTTTTGTCTCCTCTTCAGGGGGGGGTGGAGACTTTGAGCTATACACGAGAGAAAAATAAACGCAATGTAACCAAAGCCCTTTTCTTGGAGGGGTGTCTGCACGACACCATGTCAATTTTAACCTATCAGTGAATATAAAATTCCAGGAGACAGCTTCTTCCAACAAATGATAAAAGGACAACAGGAGCTCTCACAGTACAGTCGATCTAAAACTTATGCCTATAAAATCCTAGTCCATTTTAATCCAACCCTCTTTCCAGACTCTCCAATCAACACCAGGTATACCAAGATCAGAGCAGACACTCCCTTCAACGAAAGGGACTGTTTCCCTCACCGGCTGTGGTAAGCCTCCTCTCGGAATTCATAGTAAGCTCGGCCATGTTCATCCTTCTCATCCCGCTGTCTCTTTACCCCCCGCCGCTCACCATCTGAGCCTGCTGGTTTTGATTTTTCACTATCTTGGTCATCTCCTACAAAAAGGAGGGAAAGAAAATCAGCAGTTTTCATACGGGAGTGTAGAATAAGCTCAGAACCAACAGAGGCTAAAGAGGGATCTGGGTATCTGTCTAATCAGAACAGCTACGTTATTCCCACTGCATTCACAGAATGTTTTATTTCCGAAGATCACCTCCCAGTCATTCACTGGGATTTTATTTTTAAAAAAGACATTATGGGCTAATTACAGTCAAGGAGTAGATACAGACTGGACAATTTCTGCATTCTAAATTTATCTGCTTAAATCAGGTCAAACTTGCAGATTTCCCAATACATGACATTAAAAAAAATAATAAGCCAAGTCTTCAAAAAAAAACCACTTCAGTTAAATTTTGATGCTTGTCAGATTTGGATTTAGATACTTAATATATATTTTCCAATGCTCTCCCACAACTTCATGATACAGAAGTCTTTTTTTTTTTCTCTTAAAGAGTTTGCCTATCCAGCTTTAAAATGCACACCTATCCATGGCTTTACTTACATAGAAGATGGACAGAACTGTATTTTTATCATGGATTTTTAATGAAAGTTGCAAGAACAAACCATTAAGTCACAACAGACCCATAAATAATACTGTATCATTACTGCACACAATTTGGGGCAGAAAGGTGCTGTCACATATTTAGCAAAATGCTTTACAAGAGGAAAGAAATGGAGTTTTCCTTAGGCTTTTGTAATTTGCAACACTAAAAAGGTTTTTAATAACTTCCTTAAAGCAGTGCTTTATCCCTCATCTTTTCTATCTTCTACTTGGAATACACATTAAGTCAAAGGTTATGTAATGGGATTTTTGTTCCAGGACATAGAACAAACAATCTGCAAGTTGCACGTGACTGTAGTAGAATGGGTTCCAATAATACCATGATCCTAAATAGCAGCCTAAAAAACATTATAAGAAGTAAGGCAACCCACTTCACAGTAAGACTTGCAAGCAGCTCTAATTTTCCTCCCTACTCTGACAGACTGTCAAGGATCAGCTCTAATCATCCAATCACTTCAAAGGAAAAGAGAAAGGTCACTAACTCCCTGGGGCGACTCTACACTGTCACTTCCACAAGGTTACTCAATGGACCCACCAACACCTCCATCGTTTCAGTTCAGGAAGTCAGACACCTGAACTGTAACAGGCTAGCTAAGTGTACAGCAAATCTACAAATTTGCCCAGGCACAGATTCAGTGGGAAGATTAAAATTTAATCGTAAGAATTTCAGCAAAGTAAAACCCTTAAGAGAGGTAATGTTAGCTAACTTACTCTATACGCACTAGATTAAGACTTTGCCTTCGCTGGTTAACTGTTAAACCCAACACTCTCACACCACAAGCTGCTAAAGCAGAAGCAAGGTTAGATTTCCAGATTCTATGTGTGTGTGGCTCGAGCTCTAGCAATGTGCTTTGGATGGAGAGAACTTTGACGAACTTAGATTATTGCTTAATATTTTTATGGCGGAAAAGTCAAAGGTAGCCCAAAGGCGAAACCTCCAACCGTCGGTCTGGCTGTCCGTGTAATCGTTAATTCCTCAGCGCATTCTCTGTTTAGGTAAAGATAACCAACACCGCGGGAGGTTGCTCCACAGGTCGCTCACAAGCAGTTCGCATACAAAACCGCTCACTTCCATCCACTACCACCAAGGAACCAAGTAGGCAGGAACCTCCCTCCTGCAGAGCGCGGAGCCACCAGAGGCAGCCAAAACCCCCCAAGACGGATAGTGAATGGAAGCCACTTCCCCTGAGGAGTCCCATCAAATGGAGTCGGGAATCTTGCACTTTTCAGGCAAGTGAGAACAAGGAATCGGACCCCGCGGTGCAGGGCTGGGTGCTGGGTCAGGGGCGCACTGGGCAGGTTGGAGCCGGGCTCCGCTGCCAGCTCCTCACCCTGTTCCTCCGCGGCCTTGTCACCCGGCGCCTCGGATCCCGGCGTCTCGTCGCCGCTCCGCTCCTCCGGCTCCTCTTCCTCTCCCTTGCCGGTGCCCTGCTCTTCGCCACCATTCACCCCACCTGACCCAGCCGTGGCCTCCTCCGCCGGCTTCTCGGAGGCATCAGGCTCGGCCGCGGCCTCCACGGCTGCCGCCTCCGGGGGCTCCGGCGACGGCTGCGCGGCCGGGCCCGGGGCCTGGGCAGGGGGTGGCTCTTCGTCCTCGTCCTCAAGCAGCGCCTCCTCGTCCTCTTCTTCCTCCTCTTCGTCCTCCTCCTCGTCCCCGCCCGGGCCGCCGCCCGACGCGGCCACAGGCCGAGGCTCCGCCTTGCAGGCCCCACCGGGCCCGGGCCCGCCACCGCCGGCCTCGTCCTCCAGCATCTCGGCGTCCAGCGCCTCCTGCAGCCGCTGCGCCAGATCCACCTTGAGGCCGCGTGAGTCCAGGCCCCGTCGCTGCAGCTCCGACCGCAGCTCGGTCACTTTCAGCCGCTTCACCTCCATCGCCGCCGCCGCCTCCTCCGCCTCCTCCGCCTCCCGCCGCCTCCTCCCCTGAGAACCGTCGTCCGAGCCCGACCGCGCAGGCGCCGCCGCCGCCCGCCTCCGCCTCACGCGCCAGCACTGAGCCCGCGCGAGCGAGTTGCACGCACGTACGCACGCAGCCAGCGAGGGCTGTGCGCAGTCTCCGCTCTGTAGTGTGTGTTTCTCTGTCCCTCTTCCCTCTCTCTTTTGGCCCACGGAACCCAAAACAACCCAGCGAGGAGCTGCTTCCCTTCCGGCCCCCTTGGTTCCCCCGCCGCGGGCAGGCGGGTGAGGACGACGAACTTCCCTCCCTTTTCCTCCCTCCCCGTCTCACCCCCTGGGCCAATCGCCACCGGTGGTTTCACCGCGCAGCCGCGCCGGAGTCGGAGCCGGGTAAGGCTGGATTGAATTCAAGTGCCTCGTAGCACGGAGACTTGTGCGCGCTTGTCTCCGTACTTCCAGACGGGGCTCTGCGCAGCCGCCTGTAACTCCCTTCCACTCCGTCACCACCATTACTCCCGCCTGACTTCCGATCGCTCTGGCATTTTAGGGTTTGCTCGCTCGTCTGTTTTCCCTATGGCCCATACACGCAGCAGCTTTTTGTGGATTAAAAAAAAAGCTGTTACAACATGAAAACCCAGTAGCCATTGTCTTTCCAGTTAGTAATCAAAAGGGCTCTTTAAAAGCAAGTCATACAGTAACTCTGGGCCCTTTGTATTCCTCAATCTCTCAACTTTACCCAGAAACAGCCACCGCGACTTCGCCTTTTCGCTCTCGTATTGGCCAACTTGAATCGCATCTGGAATTCTGATTGGCCATTCGAGATCGTTCGAATTTTTCCAATAGGCGAAATTGAAGGGATTTTTTTTTCCGGGTTGGTCCGCAGGGGAAGCTGGGCAGGCGGGGTCGTTTCTGCGGGATTACTTTTCCGGGGCCGCTTCTGATTGGGCGGCGCGGCGCAATGCGCGCGACCCTCTAGACACCAAACTGTCGAGAGAGTCGGCCGCATCCTCGTCGTGCTCCCGTACGTAAGGCCAAGCACCGAGACTTTCGGACTTGGGCATTTGCAGAGGTTGAGGGACTGGCCTCGTGGTTGTGGACTTGTAAGTGAGCTGCTGTGCCGCGTGTCAGTCTCGGCCTGTGGGGTGGGGTGCACGAGCTGCATTCACCTCGGCTCCTCACCTTCTGACACAGACGCCAACAACTGCTTGTTGAATACGTGCAAAAAATAAATAGCCGGAATACAGGCAAGCCTTAATTTAGCAGTTGTTCCCGCCTACTCCCTTCCACTTCCAGGTCAGGGGGTATGTCCAAAAGAAAGGAGGAAGCAAATTCCGCCGGTTTTCGCACGCCAGACACGCCAGTATGACTTTCTCCTTTCTGGGAGTCTCTCAGCCTGGAACCGCCTCTTTAGGAAGTTTCTTCACCTCTGGCTTTACTATTCCTGTATCTTCTTGATTAGTTTCCCGCAATTCCACAGATTGAAGAATACTGCAGAGAGAAGGGGCTATAGTAAACAAGCGAAGCTCATTCCCTGGGTGGGGCCTCCTAGATAAGGGTAATTTCCTGCCTTTTAGGTTGGCTACCAATATCAGTTATTTTGCTCCCGTCCCCAGAGCTTCAGTTGCTCTTTTGTTTTCCAATTCCTCAAAAGCACTTGGCTACAGAGTTATGGAGAAGCGCCTGCAAGAGGCTCAGCTGTACAAGGAGAAGGGGAATCAGCGTTACCGGGAAGGGAAGTACCGAGATGCTGTGAGTAGGTACCATCGAGCTCTGCTTCAGCTGCGGGGGCTAGATCCAAGCCTGCCCTCCCCGATACCTAATCTAGGACCTCAGGGCCCAACCCTCACACCTGAACAAGAAAACATACTGCACACGACCCAGACAGACTGCTACAACAATCTGGCTGGTAAGAACAGGGATGAAGGGTGGGTAGAGTATCAAGGCAGGCACATGAAAATCTGGAAAAAACAATGACTTGCGTTTCTGTTGTCATCTAGTTATTCTGCCATCAATCGAAATACATTTTCAATCTGTAGGGCTCTAATTGAGTTTCTATAGAGTAGTGCTTCTCAAACTTCATCTGGAGAGTGTTAAACACAAATTCCTGAGCCCCATCCCCAGAGATTCCTATTCATTCGTTTCAGGTGTGTGTGTGGCTACGAATTTGCATTTCCAACAAACTCACAAATGATGCTTATAGGTTTAGTTAATTTTATATGCTAGAGAAAATACTGAACTTAAGGAGAGTTTACGGCATTGTTTCTTATTTTATTGAAGTATCATTCATGTACAGTCTTATATTGGTTTCAGATATACAGCACAGCGGTTCAACAGTTACCCATATTATAAAATCCTCACTTCCACTAGTGCAGTTACTATCCGTCAGCATAGGAAGATGTTACAGAATCACTGGCTATATTCTTTATGCTATACTGTTATCCCCGTGACCAACTTACACATTAAATTGAGAATTTTTGTGTAGGGCATTGTTTCTTTAATATTTTTAAAATTCAAGTATGGTTGATATACGATCTTGGTTTCAAGTAAACATACAACAGTGGTTCAACAGTTTCCCATATTATTAAATCCTTACTCCCACTAATGTGATTACTATCCATCAACACAGGAAGATGTTGCAGAATCATTGGCTATATTCTCCATGATGAACTCCCATCCCTATGACCAACTTACCTTACAATTGAGAATTTTTTGTGTTTAATATTTAAAGTATAGGAAAGAAGGCACTCCCTTTAGGTAGTGGTGTAAGTCATCCATATTAGATGTTTTGGACAGCTTTTCCAAATTTTCCTCTTTATTATGAGCCAGCTAGGTGGTGTCTTAGATAGCTACTATCTTCCATCTTCAGGTGGCCTTAAATGAGAGATGGATGCTAGAGTTTGTATCAGGATTTCTGATCAAAGAAATGAGACTTCTTAAGTCTATTCTGTGCCGGGCAAAATAACCATAGAGCTAATTATATCAAAACACTTTAATGGGCCCAGTTGAGGCCACAGAAATTATTAGGGTTAGTTTTTATACTTACCTATTTATTTTGGTTTCTTAAGCATTCTGTGTAGTGGGTGATTTGGTAATTTTTTTCAATCAGGCTGATGGCTTAAAAAAAATAAGCATTGATAAAAATATTACACTGTTTCTGTGTTAAATAGAATATTCTTTGGGCCTTTAAAAAATTTCAAGTCAGAATTTGTACTTTATAATGGATGTTTAAAATTTTATTTCTTTTTACTACAATACCCATCATCTATGATTTGGTGAAAATCTAGTTTTACAGTGTCCAGTGCAACTCTTAAATGCAAGTAATAATACTAATTAAGTAGCTAATGTTTCAGTTAATGCAATTCAAAATTATTTGAGGTCTGAGGGTACAGCATACAATAAAACAAAGATCTTGACTTTCTTGGGCCATATGTTCATGTAAGGGAAATGGACAATTAACAAAAGAAGTAACAATGTGGAATAGAATAAAGCCAAAAATGTGAGTGCCACAGGCATGGCAGTGTACACGTTTAGAGAGTGGTCAGGGAGGGTTCATTGAGGTGATGTTTATGAATTACCATGGACAGACACTGTTTAAGCCCTTTACACAGAGGGTCTAATTTAAGTGTCAATAATCCTTTGAGGTAGATATAAGGAAACAGTGATACGACCAGTAAGTGGTGGAGCTAAAATTAAACTTGCGCAATCTTAACTTCGGAGCTTAAGTTCTTATTGCAGAATACTGCCCAGTATTAGAGAATAGAATATGTATTAGGGAATTGACCAGAAATCAAGGAAGTGAGATGTTTTAGAGCTGGGTACTTATAAATATCTTGACTCTCCAGGTGGACTTAAGGCAGGGAACTATCGCTTAGCCATCTGTAGAGCCTCTGCTTGGGGGTGCTTGATGGATGCTCCCTAAAGATTCACTGAATTAACAGTTTTCACTTATTGAATACCTATATGTTGCGCAGTTTATTTAAAATATTATCACAAAAAGTCTGCGAGGTAGTTAGGATTACCTCTGTTTTACAAATAAAGGAAATCAGATCTTGTCACTGCCTAAAATTCTCCAATGGCCTCTCATTACACTTGGGGAAAAAATTCAAACTGTGACCCTTACCTGCAGGGCCTGACGTGATCTGGCATCTCCATACACTGAATTGGCAAAGTGTATTTCCACCTTCCAGCTTGTACGATCTCTGCTCTCAGGCTAGAATACCCTGTTCTTGATTGACTCTTGTTATTGAGATCTTGGCTCAAAAATCACTTTCTAAAGAGGCCTTCTGTATTTTTTTTTTTTTAACTGAATACCTATTGTTGTGTGCCCTACTACTGGACACACTTTCTTTCAACATCTTTAAAACACTTCTTACTATGGAAAATATCAGACATATACAAAAGGAGAGAAAATAGCGTAAAGAACACTCAGACACCACGCTTATCTTCTACAATTATAATCTGATACAGAATTTTTGTCCAGGACAGTTTTAAAGCAAATTCCAGACTCATATCACTTTAGACATAAATGCACATCTACTTGACTTATTTATGCCCACAATCATTTCCAACAAAATCAGCAATAATTACTTAGTTTCAAAAAATACCCAGTCTAGATTCAAATCCCCCATTGACTCTAAATTGTCTTTTTTACAGCTGTTTCTTCAGAATCCAAAGATCCATTCAAAACATTTTGGTTGTTCATTTCTTAGGTCAATGACAGTTCCCCTTTCCCTTTTATATGATGCCATTAAGGAAAAGATGGGTCATTTGTCTTGAGTGTCTCACATTCTTCATTTAGCTGTTTGCTTTCTCGTGGTGACATGTAGCATGTTCCTTTATCCCCCATATTTACTGTTAAGATCTAAAGGTTTGATTAGATTTATTTTTATTTTTTATTAAAGTGTCATTAATACACAATCTCATGTTGGTTTCAAACGTACATCACAGTGATTCAACAATCCCTGGGATCAACTTAAATTGTGATTGTGAGTTACTGAGACCTTCTGTATTCACGTGTCACTCTGACATTGTTCATTCTCTGTCCCAGCACTGTTCTGCTTGCCTCAAAGCACTTTAAAAATTCATTTGTTTGCTGTGTACCTCCTGCTTGGGAACTAGGATGTAAACTCTATTTACTCATCAAGATGACTGTCTTATTCCTCTTATCCCCTGTTCTTAATTCTGCCCAGTACGTGGTCAGTGCTCCATAACTAGTTGTCAGCTGATTGAGTGAAGGTACAGTGATGGATTAGTTGAACATGGGAAATATCAAAGTAGAAACCCTATGACCAATTGGGAGGAATGTTGTAGAAGGGATACAGATGGACACCCAGTATCTTTAAAGTCTTCCTCAGCTCTAATTCTCATTCCTTCTTAGCACTGTGATTCAGTAATACTGTATTTAATTACCAGAATTAGGAAATAGGGAACATGTTTCCCTTCTTAATTATAGAAAGGCTGAACATTGCCTCCTAAACAGATTTGTACTTTGAAGTCCTATTAAGTAATCCAAGGGAATAGGGAAGTAATATATCATCATTGAGAACAAAGGTGATTTTGGAATTAGAGAGTCCTTGGTTCAGATTCCTTTTTTTTTTTTTTAAGGTATCCTTGATACACAATCTTATGAAGGTTTCACATGAGCAACATTGTGGTTACTACCTTCACCCCTATTATCAAGTCCCCCTTCACACCCCATTACAGTTACAGTCCATCAGTGTAGTAAGATGCTAGAGTCACTACTCTTGGTTCAGATTTCCTGCTCATTCTATCTAGATGCTGTGGGATCTTGGACAAGTTTACTTTGAGTAAACAAGTTTACTTCTCTCAGCCTTGATTTCTTCATCTGTTAAATGGAGTAGGAACACTGATTTCAGAGGGTGGGTAAGAATATGGAACAAGATGTTTATCAAGCACATGGCACAACTGTTTCCTCACACAATTAATGTCAACTGTTGTTTACAAAGCTGCAGTACAAGAATGTCAAACTGGGATATTCAAAATAGAGAGCCTTAGGTAGAAAAGACACAATGAAGAATTTTAAATGAATTTAAGTATTTTTTACCTGTATTCTATCTGGACCTAACCCAACACTAGGTGCGTAGTAAGCATACAGTAGATAATGAAATAGGTTGTAAGGTACGTAATGCTTTTATTCACTGCAGATCCCCACTGCCTAGAAGAATGTCTGGTACTGGTAGATGCTGAAGTGTATTTGTTGGCTGAGTGAATGTTGTTGATAACCATCTTGTTTGGTACTGCCTTGAATTGGCCAGTGGGGCTTAGTGTAATTAGACCCTCCCCCTCCTCCCTTCTTTTCATTTGGCCCGGTTAGCCTGTCTCCTTCAGATGGAGCCAGTCAACTACGAACGAGTGAAAGAGTACAGTCAGAAAGTCCTGGAACGACAGCCTGATAATGCCAAGGCCTTGTATAGGGCTGGAGTGGCCTTTTTCCATCTGCAGGACTATGACCAGGCCCAGCACTACCTCCTGGCTGCTGTCCATAGGCAGCCAAAAGGTAAGAGGGAAGGGTATTGAAATGGGAAGGACAAATAAAATTGTCCTGGTGAGGTGGTATCTGTGGAAGCAAGTTTTATTTTATTTTACTTTCTCACTTTATTGAATTTTTTAGTTGAAATACATTCATGTGGTTCAAAATTCAAAAAGTATCAAAATGTGTATGATGAATAGGCCTTCTACTCTTGGATTCTTGCCCCCACAGGAAAGCAATATTGTATATTCTCCAAAAATATTTGTGCTTAAACAGGCATATATATATATATATATATCCTCAGTAAAAGAGATTTTAAAGCATTGTTTTTCCAGTTTCAGTTCCTAGATTGTGACTGAATTAGAACTGGATCCCAATGAATAACGTTTAGAATCCTCATTTCTGCCAGCTCTCCAGCTGCGGTCTGGCCTTTGCTTTAACTATCATTCTATCCTTTAGCTCAGCTCAGCTAACCCCAGGTATGACCTAGAAAAAGGGCAGGCCTACTGAGAGAAAATTTGAGACTTAGTACTCTGTTTCTAAGGCAAAAAGGAATACCGCAAAGCAGATGATAGACTCGTTCCTTTGTTGGTGGTTCAGTACTTAAAATTGTCTCGTTTTGCACCCTGGCTTAGAGCAGATTCTAGATGCTAAAAGTAGAGGTTCCCCAAATGTATAACAATGCAGCAAAATCTCTTCAAATGAAGGGGAAAGCCACTCTGAATTAATAAAGACAGAAAATATGAGCCATTCATTCACGTTTTCTACCTTCAAGTACATGGATTAACTGCCACCCACATACAGTATCTTTAGAGGCTCTGTGACAATAACTTCTTCAAATTCCTTTTCATTATTAAATTAGTCAGCCCAAGGCTGTACAAAGATTTTTTTTTTAATTCAAAGTGGTATTAATGAATGGCATTTCCTATTGCCTAGGATAGTTGTAATATATTCAGATCTTAGAAAGATTTAAAGGAATGAAAGAATATTAACAATCCTCTTCTGTCCCAAGGTGAGGATTATCATCCGTCTCTAACTGCCTTCTTTGTCCTATTCTAAGATGCCAGTGTCCGGCGGTACCTCCAGCTAACACAGGAGGAACTCAGTAGCTACCATCGGAAAGAGCAGCAGCTGTACCTGGGCATGTTTGGTTAACAAGAAGAACGATGTTCCTCCACCTGAACTTAGATGAACCATTAAAGACCCATTGAGGGGAAACCTGAGACTCAGAAGAGAAACTAACCCCATACTTCTGACCCAGGTGGATTTCTGTTTCTAGTTCTGCACAGACTTTACCACTCACACACTCGGTGTCTTGCTTTGTCTGTCCATCTATGTATTTGTATAAGCCTTTAATACATGGTGTCCCAGGGGACATTTGCCTTGAGAAATAAAACCAGAAAACATTCATCAGCTATGGGTGGGACCAATCCTATCTGTGGCATAGATTTTAGTGGTGGATATTGTTAGATGTATTCATATACAGTGAAGGCTAGCAGAGGATGAAATAATATGGTAGGCAGAAAGGAGTCTCTTTCTTTGTTTCCTTGGATGCCCAAAGCCAAAGTTATACAGGCCTCAAACAGAGAAATACATATTTTTTTGTGAAACTAGACAATTATAAATTGGCCTACATGGCTTAAATGAAAGATTTGAAATTAACTGTTTTTGATTGATTCCATATTTTTTTCTTAATATTCCATGTACATTCTTTTTCCCCTACAAAACTATCTGGTTCCTTTTATTTTTTTTTGGTAATTTCTGTTACTCAGATCTTTAATATACTTATTTATTTTTCATTAAACTCTTCTGTCTTAAAATGTCAAGTCAAGCATTTAAGTATTTATGTAATAACTTTTCAGCCCTCATGCCAGAAAAACACCCAAGGGAACATTTAAATTTTTAGTAGGTGCATATCTATAGTATGTTCATTTCTCTAAACAACATAGGAAAAACAGATTACCAAGTCTTATAGAAACATTGCTGTAAGAGCAGGATAAAAACATAAATCTATTCTTTACCTGTCACCTTATATTTTGCAAGAGCTCAGTTCTTTACAAAGGATGGAAATGAGGAAGGGTTCTTCCTTAGTGCCTTTTAAACACCTGATGTAACTTTCTGGAAGCTTGTTGGGCACAGGTGCAGGCTGCAGATCTGGTGCAGTCATGGCTCAGTAGGTCAACCAGGAGATCTTTTGTCTTTCTGCATGTTCATTGTGAACAGTGTCCACAAGGTATCAATTCTACAGAGTAGATGAGACCATTTGGCACTGCCTCTGCCTTTGTGAGTGGAAGTGAGGAGCCTGTGTCATTAGCCATCCTATAACCACAGACAAATTGTAGGAGAAAAACCTTACTCCTGCCAAGTGTTAATGAATTAGTCTCCCTTTACGTAACATCCCCCTCTTCCAGTGAGCTAGGCTCCTCTTTGTATCTCCCTGTACACTTAAATAGTAAAACCATCATACAACAAAAAAGATTCTCTACCAAATAATGTAGGTCCAAGGACAGAACTAACAAAAGTAGAATATTTTATTCTTCCAAGCTTCTTAAATTTCTAAACCTAGATTGTTGAAAAATTATGTCATGGTTGCATGTTCTGTTTGTTTAGGGCTGGTTTTGCTGTTTTTTTTTTTTAAAAAAATATTTAAAAACATTTGAGAAATGTATTACACTAATCCTGTTATTATGCTGCTAAAGACAAAGTCGTCAGGCTTACCTTTCAGTCTATTTCAAAGGCCACCGGACAAAGGCAGTAAGGTCTGGGGTCTGGAGCAGGTCTGGCAAGCCCACGTCCTGCAGGAATCAGCCACAGGGTACTGTGGAGACAGGGGACTGCTCACCTTAACAGTTCTAATGGATTTGAGGGTTTGATTGAGGAGAAGGCATTCAGGGTGGACCTGACAGTTAATACTTTGGTGGCACCCAAGGGACAGTTCAGAACTGAACTCATATCCACCACCCTTACAATTTTGCCAAAAGTACATACTACCCATACTTCTAGTTTGTCCATATTTTATTTAAATCTGTGTTTTCAAAGGAACCTTTGGACAAAGGAACATGTTAAATGATACCTTTGGGATGTAATCACCAAACTCCAGATGTGAAACCCAAAGATGAACAACCCAGTTTCTTCTTTCTATAAATAAACTGCAAGGAAAAAAGAAAGGGAGCCTGTAGGTTAAAAGAAGCTTCAGAGATTATCAACCGAATAAATGTGACTACTTTGGATTCTGATTTGAAGAAACTTCATGAAACTATCAGGGAAATTTGAACAGGCATTATTGTCGATTTTTTTGAGTGTGATAACGGTATTTGGTCTTTTTTCTTTCTAGAGTTTTTTTAGGGGTGCATACTGAAATTGCTTACTGATAAAATTGGGGAGGGGATTTTAGAACACTTCATATATCATTAGTCCAAAAAAAAAAAAACCCCGTAAAAGACATTTTAACAATAAAACACATTACAAAAAAATAGGTCCAAGTAAAGCATCTTTGGAAACACTGGCTTTGGAGAAATTAAAATCAAAATCCAATGGGAAGGGTTGAAATGGTGAGTTTCGTGAAGCTAAGCTTGGCCACATGTCTGGCGATTGAAGAGGCATTAGACACCACATGAATGCATATACTTACAAAATAGCCAATTAAGAAATGAAGCCCTAGGAGTACATCTCTAAAGCTGAAGAGCGAGGGGTGGTCGTTTGAAAACAGCTTGTAACTCAAGAGCAAATAACTTCTCAGGGTGAAACTCCTTAATAGGCTGGAGCCTGGCCCATCTTCCCAGAAATGAAGGCCAGTTTTGGCTCGGTATAAGGAAGCATTGTCCGACAATAGAACACGTTGCCTTTGGGGATAGTTTTCTTTCAAGCAGAGGCTTGACAACTGGCAAGCAGGGGATCCAGCATTGGACTAGAGGTTCGATGTGCTAACCTGTGGTTCCTTGAGTCCATGAATGGGCCCATCAAGAATGGTGCAAACTAGAGAAAATTCTCTATTGATCACACCTCTTCCTAGCATCTAGCAAATACATAAAGTGAGGCAACTGCGGCCTTAATTGTGTTTACATGTAAGACCTAATTAAAGAGGATCTATTGGTGAGATTCTCCTGAAGAGCAAACACTTACTTTCAGTTCCCAGCATGAGCTGCATTCTTCATAGGTGGAAGTTAGGCATTTGCAAGATATTTAAACACAATTAACAATAGTTACTGGTTTCTTCAGACTGTCCAGAGAAATTATATACATTATATATATATGTGGACATAGATACTCTTAAAGCCTTTTAGGAACTGATGTTTTGAGGCAACTTTTTTTCTCTTTCTTTATATATGTATAACTCATGTACCATAAAATTCATCCTTTAAAGGCAACTAATTCTTTTTAGGCATTGAGATTTAGGATTTGGTATTTAGGAGAAACTTGGGAAATGGCATTCCACTCGGAAGAATAGCTCTTACTGTGTGTGTGTGTAGGGGGCGTATCTTGCCTTGTTTCACCAAGGAGTTAAGGCAGTAATTTATTTGCATAAACAAACAGTCAGCCACTTGAAATATAAACTAAAAGGTAATTCCAACATAAAGAAAATAATTCATTCTTTCACCCATGAAAATGTTAAGCTCAATTTTTGCTTGTCCTGGTGTCCCAGATAAGGAGCTAATTCAATGCTCAGCTGTCTCCTACAACTCAAAAACAGTCGCTTGCCAGTAAGAGTTCAGAGTGCTGAATATGACAGGAAAACCCAAAAAGAAAAGCAATTCAGAACATTTATTCTTACTTTCCCCATTTTCTAAATTATCTGTCCTGCTCTTTTCACACTGGGCTCCTGCTGTGCTCGAGAAGGGTTTGTAAGGAGCCCTCTGGTGTGCCTGACAGCACCACTCTTCAGCCTGGGGCAGACTCTTACTTTCCTAGAACTTTTTTTCCCCACCTCTCATTTCTTTGCTATCTCTGCTGCCAGTAACCACCTGTGTGACTATAAATGAGTAATCTGATCTCTCTGGATTGTCATCACACTTTCTAAGTGAGGGAGTTGGATGAGATGACCTGTAAGATTCTCTCACCTGGTGTTTCTTGCTTTAGTTTTCCCAAGCACCCGTTATTTCCAGACCCTCAGCCCTGCCTGGTCCCCAGCGACCACCACTGAGTTAAGGACTCTGCCTTTCTGTTTCTCATCTTCATACAATGTAGGCAAAACTTACAAGTCATCAAGACGGTATCTATTCTTGAGACAGGCAATCAAAGATCTTTCTACATGGAAAGTAGAGGTAAAGGGGCAAGGGAGCAAAGCCAAACACTCAAAAGGACAAAGAAGAAAACAGTTTGTTCTCAGTTAATTAGCATCAACAATATTTTAAACCAGCATAGCATGCATGGTGTCTCAAGCCACAGCCATGGTTCAAATTCTGGCCTGCCCCTTAACTTGTACTGTGACATAGAAAAAGTTAATTCTGGTTTCTGAGTTTCAAGTTTTCTTGTTTGTGGGAAGAAAAGGGGGAGAGGGCCAATACCTCATAAAGTTGTTGAGGATTAAACAAGTATTTGTATGAAGTCTCCAGGACAGCCCAGTACACAAGAGTTCAAACTACCAAAATACACCATAATTGCATAGATTCCCTAATTTGTATACTTTTCCTAAGCAAAGTCTACAGAGTCTACACTGCCCTCTGCCTGTCTCACTTTTTTCATATAAACAACCTGATCCCCATCTCACCCCCAAGTACAGATGTTAGATTACTGTAAGATCTGAAGGAGCTGTATGAAGAATCAGGAAGCATGCAGGTTTATGAAAGAAACCAGCCAATACTAGTTCAAAGAGAAACTTTCACGGCTGGCTTTATAGTCCAGAATGTGGAGCAAGAAGAGGTTACTAGTGCCCTTGGAGAAGAGCTGGCTTAAGTGCTTTGCCCCAGAAAGTCTTGCTATCTGGCTGTGTAAAGAAAAGGTAGGAATCTTCCACCTGGGCATAATCTTTGTTCTGTCACGCAGCAGGGAAAATGAGATGCTTCCAACCTCCTGTGCTGCCCCCTAACAATGGCAAGAGCAGGCCCAGCATCAGCTCATACTGCCCCAGATGTTAGTTTTTGGAGCCAAGTACAGAATCTTTAGGTGGCCCTCCACCACTGTTCTGTTTGTCTGCCACTGGGGAGCCAGGGAGAGGCTGCGCTCCTAGGAGGGGGCTAGCCTCTGGATCCGGTTTGCTGCGTTTGGCCAGGTCCTCATTGTGAGCCTTGCGGATGTGGCGATACAGGTCCCCTGACTGCGTGTAGCTGCGCAGGCAGTAGCGGCACTCGTAGGGTCTCTCACGCGTGTGCACTGTGGCATGTCGCCGTAGTGTGTAAGAGCATGAGAAGGTCTTCCCACATGTCTTGCAAGTGGGAACATCCTCAGTAAAAACCCCAAAGCTTCCTGGGGCTGCTTCATACTCAGAAGGCAGGTAAAGTGGCTCATGCAGCACCGGGGGAGCAGGCAGGGGTGAGGTCACCAGTCCTCGATGATACTGCCCTGAACCTGGCAGCAAATGGTAGGGTAGGTGAGGATCTGGGGGCAGGAAGTGGTCACTTGGTCCCACCTCCTCCAGTCCTGCTGCCCGTGGTTCCTCAAAAGCTTCTGGCTGGTGGGGCTGGCCACCATACATTGCTCCTCCAGGTGGGAACAATCCCTTGGGACCCTGAGGCTGGTCCTCTGGCATGTCGGGCTCCTCGTCAGAAATCACAATGGTTTCTACTTTAACCTGAACCAGCTCAGCTTCCACTGGGGCTGGAGCCTGGGATGGAAGGGGGGCTGGGACTGGGGCTGTAGCTGAAGCTGGGGGATAGGAGCTTTGCAATGGGCCTCTAGTACCCCGTGGTTCCACCATCCTCAGACTCTCAGAACCCACATCAAGGGGAGCCAGTGGATCCAATGAAACTGCTGGAAGGCCAGAAGAGAAGTAGTTTGCAGGAATGGTCTCTGTAGAGCTACTGGGGCTGGCAAGAGGGACATCAACCACCAATGGAGGAGGTGCCTGTAGATGCAGTGAGTCAACCTCCACACCAGGCTGGGTAGTGTCAGCCCCACCAGGCACTTGTGGCTCATCTGGAGGACAGACAGCAGGTCCTTTCCATTCCCCTTTACCCCAGTGGCCTGAAGTCTCTGTTCCCAGTGAAGGCTGTGGGCCACGGGAAGTGGTGGACAAAAACTCCAAGGCGGGCTGTGAGTTGGTGTCCTCTTTCTTGGTACTGTCTGCCTCTGTCAGAGCCCGGGCTTGCAGCCGCTGCTTGCACACCTTCACAATATCATTCATGTGCAAGTAGCTGGCAGCTGCCAGCACATCCTCCACAGGGGTATCCCCTCTCAAGACCAGCTGGCCAGCATACATAAAGTCCAGAAGCAGCCCAAAGGCTGGGGCTGTGACAATCTCATTGTGGATACACACCAGATCCCTCTTATCCAGTTCCCGCTCTTTGTAAAAAAGCTGGAAAAATGGGCTGCAGGAGGCCAGCACAGCCCGATGGGCCAAGAACTGGGCGCTACCCACCATCACAGTGCAGTCACAAAGAAAACCCTGGGCCCGCTGCTCTCGGAGGCTCTGCAGCAGCTGCTGACTGTGCTCTGGGAACTCCATAGCACCCCACGATGGGAAAAGGACCCTAGAGAGGTCCCCACCAGTGGCACCCTGGGAAGAGAGGACAGTGGGTTAGGGCAGGTAACCTCCCCAGCAACCTTAAGGTCAGCCCTGACCTATTACTTGCCACCCCAAAGCCTCTGGCAATACCGTCCTTATCCCAAGACACTCGCTTAAATTACTACCCTTCGTTCTCCGAGGTCACAGCCAGCCTCTTTCTGGCTCCACCCCCTCAGCCTAACCGTAGCAGAAGGCCCCGCCCCTGGCCGCACAAGCCCCGCCCCGGCTTCCGGGGTGCCCACCCGGTAGGTTCCAACAGCTCCTTCAATTGGGAGTTTCTTTCTCTTCCAGGACTTCCCAGGCGATACCTCTACTCCCCACTCCGGGAATTCCCTGAGCGTCTCTCTCTCGCATTTCAGGGATTTAGAAGTCCTAGGATGGGAACTAGCAGAGAAAGCTGATCCTCACCCATCACCGTGCAGCCACCGGGAGGACTCCGCCCTTTCCCACCTTCTCAGTTTTGATTGGGTCAAGTTTGCTTCGCTCGTCACGAGTTGGTTCACCGCGCTCTGAGCGGCGTTTCCCAGTGGGTGCTACTGGCCGTCGCTCAGACACATAGGCGTGGATTGGTTAGCTCTCCTGTCCTAAACTTTTCCTCGTCCCACCTTCTTTGCCTCTGAGCCCTTTTGATTGGCCGAGTTTCTCCCTCTACCTGAGGTGGTAGGAGGGCGGGGACCAGCTCTAGGTAGCCCAGGGCGCTCGCCAGTGGGCGGAGTGTTGTTGCTTAGCCGCCAGCACGTCGTCACCGCTGCAGCGTGATCGAGAAAAAGAGAACCACAAACCGTGTGGGGTCCCGGAGGCCAGGTTCCTAGACTTGGCTCTGCCATAACCGTGGACAGTAGCACCACCTCGGTGAACTGCAGTTGTCTCTTGAAAGTCCCTTTCTCACAAGTCCAAGATGCCCCACTGCTTCACTCCCCCTAATCTGATGGTTCCCGGCTTCTGTCTCAGCAACGGTGCTGTTATAGAACTAGCAGCTACATCAATGCCATCCTAGTGTTCCTAGCCTGCACTCTATTGTCTATTTACAATTAATATATTGGAGTGTCCGTCTCTGCGGAGTGTACTTGGCAAGTGCTAATGGGAAGGAAGGGAGTGGGCTCGAGGCCCGGAAATGTCCTAGGACCAAGAGGATAAAGAGTGTGGCTACTTCTGAAAAAGTCTTTTAGAGTCCCTAGGCAGTCACCTCCACCACAGTTCACCTCTTCACCCACCACACTAAGCATCTCGACTTCATCTGCAGCCAAGCCCTCCAACTGAGACATAATCAGAATTAGGGACAGTTCATCTACCTTCGATCCTTGTACTAGAGGTGTGCTGGCTACACTGGCCTCGGCTTGAGACCCCACCTCTTCAAGATACTCTTCCAAGCCATACAGTATTTATTGTATAGGAACTAAAACTAACATAATATTTTCACTTTTTAATGAAAAATATATTTTCTAAAACCAAAAAATATGCAGTTTAAGTAGCGTTTATTTTTCCAAATTAATTTAATGTCTGGTTTAATAGAAGACAGCTGGATTCTCACACCTGCTTCTACTTTCAAGATTACGAGATACTGTTTTGATTATATGAAAAAAATCTGGCTCCACACATGAAAGTAGGCATGGGATTTCACTGGCCATGCTGGGGAGTATTGCATTTTATTCTGAGTATAATGGAAAGCCATTGGTGGGTTTTAAGCAGGGGAGTGTTTTGGTTTGATTCTTGTTTATTATCCTGGCTGCTCTCTGGAGAAGGTACCATGGGGGATCAAAGTGGGAACACAGAGGAAACTGTGGAAATGGTCCTATAAGATGATGATGGCCATCCAAGAGTAGTGGTGGTGGAGCTACAGAGAAAGTGCTGGGCCAACTATTTGCTAAAATTAGGATAGGAGATGAGGAACAAGAGAAAAGAAGAATTTTAGCATGAGCAGTGGTGCATGACAGAGTCATTTTCTGAGATGGGGACAATGGAGGAAGAAAATTGAGTTATATTTCTGACTTTTTAAGTAGAACTTTCCTTTAGTCCGTTACATTTATGAGCCTGAAAATCAGGAAACAATGGCCTGGAGATGTACGTTGGACATGTCATCAGGGTATAGGTGGTATCTGTCTTGTCAATGGGTTTCAGCCCCGGGCAAGTTTGCTATGGATTCAGTGTGACCAAAGGAATTGACAGCAAAACGTTCTTGGGGTGAAAGGGTTATACCCAACTTTATTTCTAGGTGGCAGGTCAGTCACTAGAATCCCATTCACTCAGAGCGAGTCTGCAGGCAGCAAGCCGGTCTCTGCCTCTGGGCCCCTCTGTCCGCACAGCCTTCCCACACAGCCGTCCTCTGGGCCTCTGTCCTCGGTGCTGCCACCACCACTCCAGCCTCTGCTTGGTTCTCCTGAGACTTGAAGCTCTGCTACCGAGTCGCGCACAGAGCACTGGGCGGAGCTCTTTATATCGTCTTTAATTCCCTTTTCCCTTTTCTATTGTATCTAACAACCCCCTCATTTTACATATTCTTTAAATTAGTCAATTTATTCCTTTTTATTTTCTTTCTCACAAAAATACTAAAGTACCTACTATAGAGCAGGCAGTATATTAAGTGCTGGGATGGAATCAATGCATTACATAATAGGGTTGAATTGGCTGCTATATTAAATGTGGAAAAGTGACTGGGAATTAGTATAAGCTTTTTTTTTAATAGTTTGGTTGTACAACAGAGGACACAGCCATGCCCTCTAGGAAGTGATTGATCTTGTCACACATTTACTGATGTTACTGCCTTTTTTATCAGTTCCCTTTTAACAGTGATTTGCTATCTGAAAGGTTAGAACATACTGTTTACACTTGATTTGCCTTTGTATTCAAGCTTCAAAGTTTACCTTTGAGTAAAGGCTTATTTCCCTTGTGAAATTTTGAGGATTTCACAAATATGTAAAGGAATAACTTGGGATTTAGAAATTTGTTTTGTATCCCATAGATATATTTGATAATTTACTCAGGAACCCTGAAAAGTCTAATATGCACATACTTTTTTCTCTTTGTTCTTTCAGAGATAAGATTAACAGATTACCAACAGTGATATTTGGAGCTGGCATTTATTTAATTATATTTTTCCCCAAGCAAATAAAATACATTAGATCTAATTGAGTTCTAATGATGAAAACAGAATTAGAACCTCCCAGAATTCCTAAAGAAATGAACAGTTAGCCAGTATTCCTGGCACTTCAGTTGTGCTTACCACTTTGTCTACCCAGTGTTAACTAACTCTTATCACCCAAAGCAGTTAATTCCTGGAGANTGCTTAGTAATAGCCTTAGCAACAAATTATGTTTAGCTAAGATTAGCTTTCTGCTGCCAACACAAATCAAAATTCTTTGTAAACAACGTATACAAGCATTCCGTTTTTGCTTTAACAACTCCTGATTTTTGCACCCTAGTGGGACACTAGTTGGGTTCTTGCCCAGATAAGTGCACCCAAAATTGCAATTCTTTGATCCAAATAAACGCTTTTGCTTAATTATTGCCCCCACGACAATTTTGGGTTGACAGGATTAAGAAAGAACAGTTACTATGCTTACTGGTGAAAGAAATCTTCACGTTTGCTGAGGGAATGCACTCTGCTAAAGCGCTTTATTTATGGTTTAATTAATTAATTAATTCCGTTTAAAAGTCCTTAGTTAACACTTAATTTAGGCCAGGCACTGTTACTTTATGGGAGAGTGGCGGTTTGACAGGTGGTGGGCGCTTCCTGGATTCCGCGCGCAGCACAGCGCGGCCCAATTGGGTGTGCGGAAGGGGCGGAGTCCTCCCACTCGGGCAGGCCCGGAAGGCGGCTTGGCGGGTCTCAGTGTGTTTCCGGCGGAGCTAGTGGCTCTCCTACCCTGCGGGGGTGTTTGGGCCGCTGTCCTGCCTCCTCTCCTGCCTCTTCTGGGAAGATGTTCTACCATGTGAGCCAGGCAGGGGATGGTGGCAAGGGCAGGGTCGCGGGGAGGAGCGAAGCGGGGCGCCGGGAGAAGGCGCCGGCCGCTTCTCGCCCCGTGACCCTGCCGTGCCTTGCCTGGTCTCCATCCACTTTCCCCGCAGATCTCCCTGGAGCACGAGATCCTGCTGCACCCGCGCTACTTTGGCCCCAACCTGCTCAACACGGTGAAGCAGAAGCTCTTCACCGAGGTGGAGGGGACCTGCACCGGCAAGTGAGTGCAGCCTGGTAGGTGCGCACACGGCACCGCGGGCTTGCAGCCCCTCCCCAACTCCTATTCTTGTAAGGTCCTGCCGCCTATTCCGGGGAACCCTCTCACCCTCCCAGGCTCCCCAGGAGTCCGTTGCTTTTTGCTTTCGATTCCCACGGCGCCCTCTAAAAAGCTGGAGCACACGCCTTCTCTCAGCTGAGACTGGTCATTCATTTACTCCGCAAACATTCGGAAGCTCCAGCTGTGTTGGCCCCTGGGAACAGTGTGGTGAACGAGATAGAGTGAAGGCACCACTCATGGAGCTCCCAGGCTAATAGCATCGTGCCTCTTCTCCCTCTTTGAACCTGCTTTTTTTCTCTATTCCCTCTGCCCATGGACCTGGCTTGGCACATCTCTGGGCTCAACACAGAGGGGCATTTCACATAGTGCTATGAATGAGCTGGGTTGAGCCCAGGGCTATGAAATACTTGGTTCTCCATCATCATCAGAAAACTTAGGTGTTTCTTGAACATAAAAGTTTCTGAGCCTCATCTCATTCCTACAGAATCAAGACTCTGGGGACCAGCTGGGAATCTACATTTCAATAAGTTCCTCTCAGGGGATTCTGAGGCATCCCAAAGAGTGAGGTCTCTTGGCTGAAAGACTGCAGCCTTTTTTGACATTTGTCATGAAATTTTGAGTGTAGCGTTTGATGATACTGTGCCCTGTCTTCCCTCTTGGTCATTAAGCTCTGGGGTCAGGGATGCATCTACCTCCCTTTGTTTTGTCCCCCAACCCCCAGGCTCACTGGATTTTGTTGCAGATGCTTTTAGAGGCCCTTCCACACACAGTACCTTTCTTGTTCTCGTCCTCCTTGCAGGTATGGCTTTGTAATTGCAGTTACCACCATTGACAATATTGGTGCTGGTGTGATCCAGCCCGGCCGAGGCTTTGTCCTTTATCCTGTTAAGTACAAGGCCATTGTTTTCCGGCCCTTTAAAGGAGAGGTCGTGGATGCGGTTGTCACTCAGGTCAACAAGGTGAGATCCTGCATAGGGCTGGCGGTCCCTCAGTGGGGTGGTCCCTCTGAAGTTGTGGGATGGGTCCCAACTCTACTTGCTAACTCTGTGTCCTTGGCCCAATCATTTCTTTGTGCTTCGGTTTCTAAGGTGTGGTAGTGAGGCAGGTAAGTCAGTATTAACAGTCATAATGACAGTAGCCTTTGTTGTTGCATAGTTACTGTGGGCCAGGTAATGTGCAAAGCCTCACAGTGACTCTGTGAGGTGGGTGCTTTTATCCTTTTTTATAGAAACTTAAGCTTGAAGAAGCTAAGTCACATGACCTACAAGTGTTCAAATGCTGTACTTACGCACTGTACAGTTGTAATAACACTGGTTTGAACTGCACAGATCCACTTATATGCAGCTTTTTTCCAATAAATATATTGGAAAATATTTTTGGACACTTGTGACAATTTGGAAAAATAATTTTCTTTGCCCTAGCTTACTTTATGGTATGACTACAGTATATAACACATAGTAACATACAAGGTATGTGCTGATTATTATATGTAAGGCTTCTGATCAACAGTAGGCTATTAGTTAAGTTTTAGGGGAGTCAAAAGTCATATGTGGTTATTTGATGGTGTGGAGGGTCAGTGTCCCTAACCCCTTTGTTGTTCAAGGCTGAACGGTATTTGCTTAACTTAGAATGAAAGCTTGAAAAAAGGGACATGAAAGCAAGCAGATGCTACGATCCAGAGTGGCTTCCAAACTGAAAAATATTAGGAATCAGATAAAGATGGGAGGCTTGGAATACTTTGGGGGAGAGAAGAAGCTGTGAAGTCACTAGTTTTCCTTATAGGTTGGACTCTTCACAGAAATTGGCCCTATGTCCTGCTTCATCTCTCGACATGTAAGTCTGCATGTGCCGGGGGAGCTACGGGGCAGAGACGCCTTTCATGACCGTCTGCTGAAGTGTCCATTTAAAGTGCTAACCCAGCCTCACTTTCCTTTCAGTCCATCCCATCAGAGATGGAGTTTGATCCTAACTCCAACCCACCGTGTTACAAGACAATGGATGAGGTGAGTGGGTAGGAAGAAGTCAGTGAGAGGGAGGAGGGAATGAGCCACTCTGAAGAGGAGCATTGGCCTGGGGGTTTCTGAGTGTGTTGTTACCCCCTCCCCAGGACATCGTGATTCAGCAGGATGACGAGATCCGACTGAAGATTGTGGGGACCCGTGTGGACAAGAATGACATTGTGAGTCTTGCCTGCTTCCCTGCCTGTACGAGGCAGAGCTGGGAACTGTTTAGTTCTTACCACCCAGAGTTCCTGGGGGTTTTGTGCTCTTCTGCCAGGAAGGGGGGTTGGGTGGGTAGAAAGCCTGGGGCTGGGGGTTGGGAGGTATTTCTGTGCTTGCTTGGACTTCATTTCCTTTTCATTTCCTCCCTCTGCAGTTTGCTATTGGCTCCCTGATGGACGATTACTTGGGTAAGTGCCTAATCATGCCTGCCAGGGGTGTTCCCTAGAGAAGGCGTTGGGATGGAGGTGGGATTTAGTGCCTGAGTCACACATGGAAAAAGCTCTCATGCTATCTACTTGGAAGATCCAGTATATGTGCCCCTTGGATGGGAAGTACATGGTCACGGCTGTCCCGGGCTCTGGGTCTAACTGATGTGCTTGTCCTGTTCTCACAGGGCTTGTGAGCTGAGCATGGGGCCTCCTACCTTGTTTGGTCCTAGGAGATGTGACTGTCACGCTTCCCATGTTATCCAGAGGCACAGTCTGGCTGCTGTGGTGGAGGCAAGGAAGGTTCCTGTACCCAGAAGACATCGGGCTCTTCTTGGGGCTTCGGAGCCACTCCCAAATTTTTACTGTGTGTCCTAACTATAAAACGTCCTTGGTTCTCATGGAAGTGTTATCCCCTTCTTTATTTGCTAAGATCAACTCTTTCAAAAAGGCTGCAGGGCCAGTTGCTTGCTAGCTTCTCTTTTCTTGGCCTGATGCCTCAATTAGTCTCAGCCCCCAGGGGATGTGACTAACCCTTTTGCCAAGGCCTGAAGCTGACCTTGTTGAAGGGGAGGCACTGATGGCAGGGCTTGGCTTCCTGCGAGTGATACCTTCATTAGAGCCACTCTGAGTCCTAATCTAATTCCAGAATATCTGCCCTTCCTCCACCCCTAAAAATAACTGGGATATGTCTGGGAAAGAGGGTAGAGGAGATAGCACGTAGGAAGAGATAAACAAGACAGTAGTAATGACCCAGATTGCAGGGTCCCAGCCTTCCTACAGTGGGTTCATAAATAACAGTGGTCTTCATTTGCCAATCAGTCACCATACTCAGCTGAACTGAAGATGTGAAAAGGTTTTATAATCTCATTAAGGTAACCACAAAAATACATGAAATGACTATAAGGTTAAACAAACCTGCTACCCTCCCTTCACGCTGTGCTATTGCAATACTATTTGTCTACCATCAAATACCCTTTTCCAGCTTGTCTGTTTGCTGCTTACTAATCTACCAAGTCTCAGTCAATAATTATTTTTTTCAGCTTTCCTTGACTTCCTTGGAAAGCAGTTGTGTATTGGAAAGTGTGGTATTTGGATTGATACAGAACTGGGTTTCAGCCTGGTGACTGTACTAGGCTTCTTCATTGTCACATGGGCCTACAGTCCTCTTCAGATGATTGCTGCTAGTATCAGATCATACGTGTGAGTGGCTGGCATAGAGACTGACCTGTGATGGGCCACTTGTCTTGCCAGTGGGTTTCAGCCCCAGGCAAGTTCACTATGGATTCAGTGTGACCAAAGAAATGATAGTAGAACGTTCTTGGGGTGAAAGGGTTTATTACCCAATTTTATTTTCACGGTGGCAGGTCAATCACTAAAATCCAATCTACTCAGCGAGCCTGCATGCAGCAAGCCGGTCTCTGCCTCCGGGCCTCTGCCTGCACAGCCGTCCTCTGGGCCTCTGTCCTTGGCGCTGCCACCACTCCAGCCTCTGTTCTGCTCTCCTGCAGCCTTGTAGCCATGCCACCATGTCACCCAGAGCACAGGGCAGAGGTCTTTATATAGAGTCAATCACAACATATTGCCCACACCTGTGTAGTGAGCTAGCCACCCAGGGCCAGGTGAGAGTTCTGGCTACAGGAACTTTGATTTTATCCACAGCACTCCATTGTTAATATTATATATGCATATACAGCAATGGTTGTCAGCTGGGGTGACTTCAGCCCCCACGGGACATTTGCCAATGACATTTTTGATGATCACAACTGGGTAGGGAATGCCTTTTAGTAGGTAGAGGCCAGTGATTCTGCTAAACATCCTATGAAGTGTAGGACAGCCCCCCCACCACACACACACACAGATTATCCAGCCCCCAGATGTCAAATTATGCCAAGATCCAGAAATCCTGATAGGAAGTATCCATAATAGTGCCTGGAACATGGTAAGAAAAAGGCCCTTGAATGCGCTTTCCTGCCCCTCGCCTTCGCCACTCCTGGATAGACATAGGCTCTTCCATTCATACCTTTGTAGTTCGTCACAAAATGTTATTCTGTTATTGTTTCCTTTTTCGTTACATTAAGTTTCATTATGTTACTGAGGTAATTGTAGATTCCCATGCACCTATTTATTTGTATCTTCAGCTCAGCACTGTGTGAGGTTTTCCAAAGTTTCCAAATCCAGAAAGGTTTCTGTGCTGGATTTGCAATGAATTTTCCAAAGGAGGAAAGTTTGCATAACATTTTACCATGCTAGGAGTTGATTACACAGGTGGTGGGGATTTCCTCTAGATCTCAAGAAGTGAAACTCTTCCCAGGTTCTCAAATGGAATTGCCTATCTGTATTGTGTCAGGGTGCCTTGCCAGTGGGATTCAGTGGGCAAGTTTGCTATGGATTCAAAGTGACCAAAGAAAATGACAGCAAAACGTTCTTGGGGTGAAAGGGTTATACTCAACTCTATTTCCAGGTGGCAGGTCAGTCACTAAAATCCCGTTCACTCAGCGAGTTTGCAGGCAGCAAGTCGGTCTCTGCCTCTGGGCCCCTCTGTCCACACAGCCTTCCCACACAGCCGTCCTCTGGGCCTCTGTCCTCGGCGCTGCCACCACTCCAGCCTCTGCTCAACTATCCTGCAGCCTTGCAGCCCTGCCACTGTGTCATGCCCAGAACACTGGGCACAGCTCTTTTTATAGAGTCAACAGCCATGTATTGCCCACAGGTGTGCAGTGAGCTAGTCAACCAGGGCCAGGTGGGAATCCTGGCCACAGGAACTCTCTCATTTTATCCACACAGGGATAATCGGGAAATAACACCAGGCTTGGAAGGAAGAGACTGATGGACAGAGAAGCAGCTCAGGGAACATGAGCATATGGGTGCAGGGGAGGATGTGGGAGGAGTGTGGCACCCACCGAGAAGGTTAGCACTGTGTGGGGAAGGGAGTTAGTGGGACGGCCTGGGGATGCTCTCCAGGACTCTTGATCTTTTAAGGTTTGGTACTAGGAGAGTCTGAAAGTCACATCCTCTTAAAGAGGCTCGTGGTAACATGAGTACCTGCCTTGCAACATGCTAAATCCTTTATACACCCTTACACACATTACTGAATTTTCACAACAGTTGCATGAAATAGGTTCTGTTACCCACTTTACAGTTGATAAAACAGGGTAGAGATGAACTAACACGCCTAAGGCTGCACAGCTAGTGAGTAGTGGAGCTTTGCTTTTTAAAAAAATCTGTCAGTCTGACTCCGAAGTCATCATAAAGCTCTTTTTGCTAGGCACTTAGTGGCTGGGGACTGAGTGGGAGCCACCTTTCTCCCCTCTGTGGCCCTGTGGGTCTCACTACTGCTTTCCCTGGCCCCTGCCTCCACTCATGTTGGGAGTAAATGAGCCTCAAACAGCTTGTGTACAGTTTCACTACATCCCACAGGCCTCTGGGCCTCTCTTCACTGCCTTAGCCCTCCAAGGTTGCCAGTGGCTGTCTAGACCAGTAGCACCTTAGCAAGGAGGTCTGCCAGCAGTGCAGATTCTGCCAAGCTGTTTTTAGACTCAGGACGTTAAAGGAACCTCTCTTCCCCCTTTGGAAGCATGGGTGGGCAGACCTTCAGTAAAGCACAGAACTCCAGATGGCATTCTGAATATTACTGAAAGAGACTCAGCAGGGTCACAGCCTCCTTAGAGATGGTGTTGCCATGGCAACCTGTCACATTCATCTAGCTTTAAATCTCAGGATGTTTTCTAGAGGCAGGAGCATCTAACTTGACAGCAAGGAAGGGTGAGAATGTGTACGTTCATGTTCCACCTGCAGAAACCCCCTTTCTCTAACGAATAGCCCATTGCAAACTACCACATCTTGAATGAACATAAAGGATGGACAGAAATTCACTTTCACTGCCTCCTGATGTGTGAGTCAAAGTCGACCCACCAACTCTACTAGGTGTTTTCACAGACATCTCATTTAATCTACAGTAACACTGTGGGGTGGGTATTACACCCCCTTCCGTAAACGGAAAATGTGGTTAGGTAATTTGCAGAAAAGTAATGTCAGAATTTGAACCCTGGTTGTTTTGACTCCAAATACCACTTTTACTTACTAAGCCCACTTGCTTCTCAATTAAGAACTGCCCAAACTCGGGAAGGTGTATGCGTGTAAAACAATCAAGATCTGCCAGGCAGGTGATGAGGTAGGCTGTACGAAGGGGCACAGCCCTGGAATCTGGAACTCGCGCGTGGGTTTGGCCCAGTCAGCAGGCTCTTTCCGCAGAGAATACCTTCCCAGAGCTCTAGGCATCCTTCGGGAAGGGGAAGTGGCAGGGGATGGAGGGGTAAGTTGGGCCACACCAAGCGGGCAGGAAAACTAAAGCCAGTCACCGAAGTCTAACCTCGCATAAGCGCAGGTGTTCGGAAACTCAGGAGCAGACAAGAGAATGGAATGGGATGCCTTCCTTGAGAACACGCTTATTAAAACGTACACCAAACAATGCACACCCACTCGCTAAGCTCCCTAGAGCTGTTGCTTTAAGAGGAACGATTCTCCCCTGTCACGTGACCCCCCGGCGCCCCTGGTCACTCACGGCGTTTTCACAGTGGCCAATCGCGTGGCGGCAGTCTCCCTGCGGGGAGGGAACTTCGCAAGGCGCTCGCTGGTTGGCTGTAGTCCTGGAGTGCGGGGCCTGGGCGCCGAGAGGGAATTAAGTGTGAGCTCAGTAAGTGGGAAGCGCCGCCGCAGTCTCGGTAGTTGCCTCCGCGGCGACAGGAACCCTCAGGTGAGCAAGTCCTCGCAGGCCTAAGGACCCTTCCTGCTGCGGGTCGCGCACCTACTTCAGCGCCCGCTCCTCTGGTGGCCCGCCTCCTTCGCCGAGCACGTGACCTGAGTTCCGTAACCCCTGACCTCCACCCCACTCCAACACCTCTGGATCTGGGATGTAGCGAGGCTGGGTGGGAGGATGCGCAGTACCGAGGCCGGTGGAAGTGAGTTCCCACGCCTCCTTACCAGTGTGCCTAGTGCCTGGGAATGTGGAGGAGAGGAGGTTGAGGAGCGGGAGACCTTGGTCAGAGCCGGGACTTTGTGGGTCTTAATATGGGCACATAATAGAGAAGCACCTTCCTCGCCGTCTGCGTGGGCAGTACTTAATGGTTCTATTTTACAGATGGGGAAAGGGAAGCTTTAACGATGATCTGTTGGCGGGTCTCCAGCGTCAAGTCTTCCGGCTGGGATCCAGGCTTTGTTCCCTACACAGTCCCCTCTTCCTGATTAAGAACAAGAGTTTGGGGCCCTGCTTCCTACTTAGTGTTCGCGGGACGATCATGGACAAGTCATTAAACATTTAACCTCTCTGATAAATACTTCTATATTACCTATCATTATTAATGAGGATGAAACGAAGTCCTAGCCGAGTGTCTTAAGCATCGTATG